CTCTGCTATGATAGTTTCATAAAGTGCACTATTAGATTATTGTTTTCTGACGATTTTTCTTTTTCTTTTTTTTTTTTTTAATTTTTGTTTAAAAGATAACTGGTAAGGGGATCTTAACCCTTGATTTGGTGTTGTCAGCACCACGCTCTCCCAAGTGAGCCATGGGCCAGCTCCCATTTTTCTTTTTTAAATATGGGCATTAACAAGTACTAATTTCTAAGAACTGCTGTAGCTGCATCCTGTAAGTTTTGCTATGTAGTCTTCTTGTTTCATTCCATTAGTTACTTAAAAATGCAGTGTTTAGGGCCAACCCCATGGCTCACTTGGGAGAGTGTGGTGCTGGGAGCGCAGCGGCGCTCTTGCCGTGGGTTCAGATCCTATATAGGGATGACTGGTGCGCTCACTGGCTGAGTGCGGTGCGGGCGACACCAAGCCAAGGGTTGCGATCCCCTTACCGGTCACAAAAAAAAAAAAAAACCCAGTGTTTAATTTTCACATATTTGCAAATTCTTCAATTTTTTTTGTTAGTAATTCATAATTTCATTCTATTGTGGTCAGAGAACATGCTTTGCATGATTTCAATGTTTTTAAATTTACTGAGGCTTGTCGTGGTTTAACATAAGGTCTATTCTGGAGAATGTTCCATGTGCTTCCAAGAAGAATACATATTCTGCTTTTTTCAAGGAATATCAAAAAGGATGCCAGTTGTGGCAATTGCTTATATGTAAGAAATGCTAAGTAGTAAGATTTTTATATCCCTGGAACTTTTGGCATATCCATAAAACAGCTAGAGAAAAGCAAGTTAATAGAAACTTACACAATGAACCTAATTTTTGAGAATCTATCATGTACTAGATACCATGCTAGTCCTGAATAAGACAGACACGGTTGCTGCTGTCTTAGAGCACAGGGTCTAATACAACTATAGAGAACTAAATAAGCTATTAGAATACAGTGTGCTATGTGCTTAAAAAGGACGTATAATGTGCTTTTGGAAATATGCAAGGAGAGTGTATTAGTCCATTTCTGTTGCTTATAACAGAACAACCTGAAACTGGGTAATTTATAAAGAAATGCAATGTATTTCTTACAGTTCTGGAGGTTGGGAAGTCCAAAGTCCAGGGAGCACATCTGGTGAGGGCTTTTCTTGGTGTTAATCCTCCACAGCAACACAAGGTATCACATAGCAAAATGGGCTGAGCAAGAGAGCTAACCTGCTCACTCAAGCTCCATATAAAGTCATCAAAACCATGCCCAGCCCATGACCAGCTATTAAACCATCAACCCAGTACTCCATGAATGGGTCAATCCATTAACGAGGGAACAGTCCTCACAATCTAATTACCTCTTTAAGGCCCCACCTTTCAATTATCTTAATAGGATTTCCAAATCACTTAACACTGTTACAGTGGGGACGAAGTACCCAACACATGAAACCTGAGGGGACACATTCAACCCATAGCAGAGGGATACCTGACTTATATTCCTAGAAGTGTCAACATATCTAACAAGGAAGGATAAATAGGAATTGGCCGTGAAGGGTGTAAGAGAGAAGGAAAAGGAGAAGGGGTAAAAAAAAGTGTCCTCCAGGAAAAAGGACTATCGTATGGGAAGGTCTGGTCCTAGGAGAAATTGTGGCTGGAATGAAGACAGTAAAGGGCAGTGGTAAGTGAAAAGGATGGAATAATAAGCCAGGTATTTTGGGTAAAGCTTTGGGCTGAATGTTTGTGTTCCCTGAAATTCATATGTTGAAACCTAATTACCAATGCGGCGATCCTAGGAAGTGGGGCCTTTGGGGGGTGATTTAGGTGGATGGGATTTGTGCCCTTATAAAAGAGGCCTAGAGGGCTGCCTTTCCGCTTCACCACGTGAAGACCCAGCAAGAAGGTGCCATCCATGAACCAAAAAGTGGGCCCTCACCAGACACCTAATCTGCAGACACCTTGGTCTTGGACTTCCAGCCTCCAGAAATGCGAGAAATAAATTACTGTTGCTTATAAGCCACCCAGATTATGACATTTTGTTACAGCAGCCTGAATGGACTAAGATACTGACAAAAATTGTAAAGTTGGAAAAGAGTGTTAACCAAGGGATTACATGGCAAGTTAATTTTCACATCGAATGTTAATGCGTCTGTACAGCTGGAGACAGAGCGAGTGAGAAGTCTATTTGGGGATCATGGCTTTGGTGGGAATTTTCACAGGAGCTGAACCACTGCAGAGAACGTTTTTTAGAAAATGAATGACAAGAAAGGGAAATCAGAGAACAGAGAACAGTGTCTGGGTCTGAGTGCATGTCCACAGTCTGTGAGGACCCTGAGCACCGGGGGCTGCCTTCCTGATCCATCATGCCTCTTTCTCCTGCTCCCAGAACCCTGACTTGGTTTGCACATCCACTTTACCCCAGATAAGCTATTTGATTTAGAAGCTGACCCTTTCCTGGCTCCAGGGGCTGATCTTGGTTTGAGGACAACCTCACAGCCCCTCACCAGTATTCATCCAGAGTGGAAACTTGACTTAACTTGGCTCAATCAAACTGAAGGGAAAGATTTTTGTTCCCTGACTGATAAAAAAAGAGGTCCACTTTCTCCTCCTGAAAGCCTGTTGCCAGCTACTTGGTGTCTCAGACTCCCTTGAAACTGTGGGTGCCCATGTAATGTGGTTATCACCAGTAAGAGAGGGTCTGCCAGGAGGTGTCTCCAAGGCCATTTAGGGCTGGCGGTGGCTCAACAGTGTTAGGAGCCCCCAAACTCTTTCTGTCCTCTGCTCCAGCTGCTGCTGGCTCCCATCTTGCAGTAAGCTAGCAAAGCACAAAGGTGATGAAGGAGGAAGTGTACAGCCAAGAAAATCTCCCCCTGATTATGCTACTCCAGGGTCTGCCCTACTGCTAGGCTTCCAGTTACATGAACCAATAAAGTTCCTTGTCGTTTAAGCCTGGTTTGAATTACATTTCTGTTACTTGAACTTGACAGCATCCTAAAAGCTACAATAGGAAAATAAACTCACAAAGAAACCAAAAAAAAAAAAAAAAAAAAAAAAGGTTAAGAGGTAGAGGAGAATCAGAAGAGTTCATTATGATCCAGTCTGAGGGAGGATGGAATTTCACAAAGGAAAGAATCACTGACAATGCTCAATGTAGTAGATTGATCGAGGAAGATGTTGTTCCTACAGTATTTCTGATTTGGATAGGGAATCTCTGCATTCAGTGTAACCATACCACAGTTTTCTGATCTATATAATTCTCAAAGGCTAACTGATGGCAGTCAACTTTACATCTGGATTCTAGTACTTATAAGTATGCTTTTATAATGAAATGCGGAATAAACGTGGCCAAGTAAGAGCTGTGTACTGTAAGTACACAGAAACTTCTCTTTTCAAATTAATCAGTGAAGTCTTGTAAGTCATAAAGATCCATTCGTTCAAGATGTTCTTTAACAAAAAAATTATTAAAAAAAGTTAAACATATACCTAAAGTTAGAAAGAACAATAAACATAACAAAGCGCCATATATCCATCACCCAGATGCTAGAATTATCAATATTTTGTCACTTGTGTGCTTCCCTCACATATAAAATCAACTGTTTGAAAATCAGAATATATTTACTTATATAAACCACATATAAATGGCAGTTAGACTCTGAAGCCAGAACATGGAAGCCCATCCCATAAGATACATTACATTTTTACATTCTGAATAGAAAACAACGTTATTGAAACCATTAGATATTTAACTATGAGTCCCATTAATGTGTCTCAGAAAAAGAAGGGACTTACCAAAGCAAAAAATGTCTCACCAGCCTCTACTAAAATCGCTAAGTAGACATATAAAAACTTCCAATTTTTTAGTAGTATTAAGTTGTTAGAATCACTTCATTGCATCATCTTACATATCTACCACACATTTCCTAAAAATATTTCTATCTGCTTTTTCTTTCCACAGCTTCAGGACCAGTGGTTCTCAAAGTGTGGTCCAGGAACACCTGGGTGTTCCCTAAACCCTTTGAGGAGGTCAGCAAGATCGAAACTATTGTCTTAATAATACAAAGATGTTATTTGCTCTTTTCATGCTTATTCTTTCATGGGCACACGGTGGAATTTTCCAGAGGCTGCATGATGTATAATATCACTGCTCTAATGGGTATACATTTGAAGTAGATGTGAGAATCCTACTGTCTTCTATTAAACCAGACATTAAAAAGATTTATGAAAACATAAAACAATTCTTTTTTTTTTTTTTTTAAAAGATGACCGGTAAGGGGATCTCAACCCTTGGCTTGGTGTTGTCAGCACCACGCTCAGCCAGTGAGCGAACCAGCCATCCCTATATAGGATCCGAACCCGTGGCCTTGGTGTTATCAGCACCGCACTCTACCGAGTGAGCCACGGGCCGGCCCTAAAATATAAAACAATTCTAATCTCATTACATTTTTTGTTTTACAAATATAATTTTGTAAAAAGTCATTTATATTAACATGTAATGGGGTTATTTTTATTTTTAAAGAATTAATAAATAATTATAAAATTTTATTTCAATTTTAATTTCTAATGCTTGTATTAAAAGATATGATCCACATAAAAATTTCTTGGGGTGTTCAGTAATTTTTGAGAGTGTAAAGGGGTCCTAAGGCGAAAGATTTTGAGAACTGTTCTTCCAGGCAAATTCTCTTCTTCATTATCTAAATGAAACTTTTGGCTAAAGAGTTTAAAAAAATTCTTTTTCTTGGGCTGGCCAGTTAGTTCAGTAGGTTAGAGTGCAGTGTTGATAACATCACCATCAAGGTTTCAGATCCCCGTACTGGCAAGCCACCAAAAAAAAATAAAAAAAAAAAAATATATATATATATATATATACATATATATATATATTTTTCAATATTTTTTGCATATGTCACTGGAAATAAAATATATCCCTTCCCTGAAATTCCTTTCCATGGTAAACGTTCTCTGATTTTGAGTAGGAAATAGATATTAGATGAGGATGATGTCTAAGATAACACTTACCTTTACTAATTCTGTGTAGCCCGTTTCTTTTGGGGTCCACCAAGGCTGAGCTTTCAGTCCATTCACATTGTAGAGTGAGCGCTGCCAAACAGATGCAAAGTGTCCTCTTTTGTGCCCAAGCTCGTACCACTTATATGCCTGAAAGAACAGAAAGACTGTACTCCACACCATTCTTCAGATAAAGCATTCTTATTAATTTTAAAATTTAAGATATTAAAAATAAGATTCATTTTGAGACATTTAAATAAAGAGCTTTTCCTGTTAGGTGGCCAAATCTGCTGAAAATCTTTGGAAATCTGGTAAAAATACCGTTATTTCACTGGGTTTCTCTGATCATGACCTGTCAGGCTGTAAACTCTCTGAATACTGGGTTCATGCCCCAACCCATTTTGGTCTCCTCCACAGTGGCCAGCACAGACTCCAGGACTTTTTTGTTGAATAGATAAATAACTTAAGATACCAAAGGGGACTATAGGAGGGGCCTTCGAAAAGTTCATGGAAAATGCATATTATGACAAAACTATGCACGGATTGCAAATTTTTTTTGCACCAAAATAAATCTGTACTAACTTTTTATAACAGGTCTGAATAGGATCTACTTTGAGGCACTATGAAGGATAAGATATCAGAGCAACATGAATTCTGCTAAGATTGAAGCAAGAACAAACATCAGATTGACGGTGAAGTTGGGTGGAAGAATGGTGAAATCATTGGTGCTTTATGAAAAGTTAAAGGGGCCAATGCCCCAAAGAAATCAGCAGTTTACAAATGGATAACTCATTTTAAGAATGGACGAGACAACGTTAAAGATGAAACCCTCGGCAGCAGACAATCCACATCAACTTACAAAGAAAAAACTAATCTTGTTCATGCTCTAATCGAAGAGGACTGATGATTAAGAGAGAAACAATAGCCAACACCACAGACAGCTCAACTGGTCCAGCTTACACAATTCTGACTGAAAAACTGAAGTTGAGCAAAGTTTCTGCTCGACGGGTGCCAAAACTGTTCTGCCCAGATGAGCTGCAGACAAGCGCAGAGCTTTCAATGGAAATTTTAGACAAGTGGGATCAGGATCCTGAAACATTTCTTTAAAGAATTGTAACAGGAGATGAAACATGGCTTTACCAGTACAATCCTGAAGACAAAGCACAAAGTAGGCTCCCAAAAGGTGGAGGTGGTCCCACCAAAGCAAAAGCAGACTAGTCAAGAGCAAAGATCATGGCAACAGTTTTTTGGGATGTTCAGAGCATTCTGCTTGTTGACTTTCTACAGAGCCACAGAAGGATAACGTCTGCTTATTATGAGAAAGTTCGCCAAAGCTTTAGCAGAAAAACACCCAGGAAAGAAAGCTACACCAGAGAGGCCTTCTCCACCATGACAATGCTCCTGCTCATTCCTCTCATCAAACGTGGGCAATTTTGTGAGAATTTTGATGGCGGATCATCAGGCATCCATCCTGCAGTCCTGATTTGGCTCCTTCTGACTTCTTTTTGTTTCCTAATCTTAAAAAAATCTTTAAAGGGCATCTACTTTTCTTTAGTTAATAATGTAAAAAAGACATTGACATGGTTAAATTCCCAGGACCCTCAGTTCTTTAGGGATGGACTAAATGGTTGGTATCATTGCTTACAAAAGTGTCTTGAACTTGATGGAGCTTATGTTGAGAAACAGAGTTTGTATTTTTTATTTTTACCTTTTAATTCAATTTTTTCACTAACTTTTTGAAGTCCCCTTGTATTTATATTCCAGCTATCATTTCTTAAGTGCTATTGTTATGTTCCTTTAAAAGGAAAAGATTATGATTTAAAATTTTTTTCAAAGATTTTGCATTTCCTGAATTGGAATGCTAAAATGGAGAGCAATTTCTTTTCTTATCTTGTTTGTTGGCAGCTGGCTGGTAAGGGGATCCACGCCCTTAACCTTGGTGTTACCAGCACCAGGCTCTCCCAAGTGAGCTAAACGGCAGTCCTGGAGTAATCTCTTTTCACACGCACTTTCTTTCCATATCCACATTTAATAAGGCTACCCCAAGGTGACAAGGTGCAAATCTTCCACTAAATTAAGTGGACAGAAGGGAAATATTAATATTACGAGCTGGCAATAAGTATAGTGAAAGCCCACATTAGGTTTTTTAAAAGGGAACTTTTGTTCCTAATACACATTTTTTTTTTTTTTTTCTGCCATAAGGGATAACAATTGTGGTTTTAGGCTAGCTGTAACATGATACAACTTGACTCCAAGAGGACTAGCCTTTTCAGGGACAGCTGGCTACAGAGTATGCTGCTCCATATGGCTCCTTCAAATGACACCCTAACCATATGTTCTCCAAGTGGCCTTTCCCATATGCTTCCTGCACCGTACAGGCTCCATTGTCTTTGTAAGGGAGGACGTTTCTAGTGGTTCGCTAATATTATTCCCTTCATTATTACAAGACTGCTCTAATGATTACTTTTGAAGGGTAATTTCAACTATATATTTTATCAATAAAAATAAGCATTTGCTATCAACTTGAATATCTTTTTCATAAAACCCCAGATATTCTTTAGGTATAAAAAATATTAACTTTTAAAATTTTCTTAAAATTCACATTTCAAATTTTCCTTCATTAGAAAAATGAAGGGTGATAGTAATACCACCTCATATTTTCAATAACATTTACAATTTACTACTTGCTTTTACATGTGTAATCTCATTTGATCTTTCCAATAACCCCAAATATCTCTATTTTAAAAATGTTGAAACTGGGGTTTATAAAGACTACATATCATAAACTAGAATTGAGGGGTCCTGTAATTTGTTCTACTCTCCTATCTTTGGATCAATTTAAAAAACTATCAAAAGTAATTTTCTTATTTAGTTATATTTCTCATTAATATCTCAAATTAAGAATGCATATACTAACCATTCTTATATATTTTCCTTGAAATATGAGAGTACTCCAAATAAGTTTGTGGAAAAACAGAATTAAAAGACAATACGAATCTATGAATTTTTTGAAGTACCCTCGTGCATGTAAGTTGCAGTTAGAATTTCTTTAAAAATCAGAACATTAAAACGGCTATTTGTTTTCTGATTTAAAATAATTGCATGTACATTTGAAATTAATTTGACTATTGTGGTTATTTTTGTCCAATTTGAATTTAGGATTTTATTTCCTATATCTTTTGGTGTTAAAGTGAATGACATAATATTTATTACAATGGATGACTTTTTTGAAAATCTGACAGTCCATTAATTTTTGAGTCA